GTCATGTCGTAAGAAAGGCCATGTAAAGCAGGCGAAGTGTGGAGTCCAGAAAGGAGGATGGATGAGAAAGGAAAGAAGAGGGAGATCACACAGCCCCCTTTGTCCCTCTTTGCCCTGCGTGACCATTAAGACACCCTAGGTGCATTGAATTTCCCTTTGTGAGCTCTAGGTTCTGTTCTTCCTTAAGCCCCAAGTTAGGTATCAAGAATGGCAGTGAACTTGGGAGGACTGAAAAGCAAAGCAGCCTCTGACCCTAGGAGCCAGCCTAAGTGGCAAGTTGACTCTCCTCTGATGAGACCTCTGGAGAAAGTCCTCTGCTCTCCATCTCCTCAGCAAAAAATATCACAGCCCTCGGGGAGGGGGAACCCAGGCCATGCTGCAGTTCTGCCTCAGCTTTTTGGATATTCCTAGGACCATGTGGAGCCAGCATTGACTTTCTATGGGCAGTACAACTCCAGAGTTCAAGTGCCCTAATTAGTTATTAGTAACAACTAATTTTGCCCAGGGGATTTCCCCTGTCTCCAGTTTCCTATGTTACCCAGAAGGCTGAAGACCACTCCCAGAACCCTACAGAGCTCAGACCTTCAGCTGGTAGTGGGATTGCAGCTAGGGCAGAAAGGCAGAGAGGACACCATGTGCTCAGCCACTGTCATCCCAGAATCCCCTGACTTTGCTCCCATCCCCCTGGATGGCTCCACCATCTCTTGCCTGAACTACTGCAATAGCCTCCCAGTGTTCCCACGCCTACCTTCCCAAAACCCATTCTCCCTCCTGCACCCAGAGTGCTCCTTAGCAAACAAAAAACCCAATAACCTCTTCATCTTATTATCCTGCTTAAAATATTTCAATGTCTTCCTAGCCTTCCTGGAGTAGAGATCAACACCTCTGACATTGCCTGCCAGGCCCGAATAACCTGGCCGCCTTTGAAGCACATCTTCAAAGCATAGGCAAGGGAAGGAATGGTTCCTAGAAGGGAGAACAATGGCTCCAGACTAACAATACCAGGATTCTGGTCCTACTTCCTCCACTGCGTATTCTGACTAATTTGCTCCATCTCTCTTCTTCTGACACCTGCTTCTTCTTCTTCTAAGAAATGGTACTAAAATCTGCATTGGCTATTCACAGGGCTTTAACAAGTCTATATCTCCAATGTATGTTCTGTCAATTAAAAAGTAGTATAAAAATTAACCCATTCTAGTAAGTGGTGTGATTGGAGGGAAGCTATACGCATTAACAGGACTTCTACCTCTTGTCTCTAATGCCCCTGCTTTCTACCCTGAAAGTTTCTCCTTTGGAGTAGGGCATCATGACTCCAGTACGCCACCGTCAAAATGCACAGGACACAGGAGAAGGAAAGAAAAAGGACAAAGCATGAAGTCATTAGGATTCACTGCTATGGAGGATTGTCATGAAGTTATCGCTGAGATTGCCTGGTGCTGAGGGACTAGGTGACAAGACAGGTAACGCCTTCTAATTGAGAGAAGGGAGGGAGTGCCCAAGGTGACACTCAGGGAGGAACACTGGCTGGGCACAGTGTTGGCATTCCCTGGCCAGTAGGGGGCAGCAAGAGGGCCTGCACCCTGTGTCCTGAGCAGGGTTGGTCTTCCTCTTAATTTTATTTTGGGAGGTGTTTCTTCCCTTCAGACAACTACCTTCCTCTCCATAAGACAAAATATTTCATACGTCAGAGATAAAATGAGAAAAAAAGCATTTCCGTTCTTTGCTTCCCCTCAACCTAGAATACTATATAACATTTTACTTTCATATTTCATCTAATCTGCCACCCATTATATCACAATTTTATGTAATACTGAGAAAAGAAATTATTTCCCGCTTACACTATGGCATGATATTAACAATAAAATGTATCCCAATTGCAGAGATGATAAATGTGGGAAAATGTACGTCTTAAAATCCATAAACTATAACACATATACATTGATTGGGTCGATACGTCTAGTCTGCTGCCGCTGTGTGACATGATACCATCCATCTGGAGGTGCAGGGATTACAGCGGGGTGTTCTCTAGACACTCAGAGTAGAAAACAGTTACTTGCTACCAAGGGCTTTTTGATGACAATCCTAGTGATGTCAATCTGAAACTTCACTTTCTCCTAGAGTAAAATGGGATAAATCCCATATACATAACAGATGTAAAGGATTTTTTAAAGGATATAAATAGCTTTATTACAAATATCAAGAAACAAAGTTGGCTCTGACTACTATATCTCAACTGTGGCTCCCCTGTAGACGTGAAAAGCCCTCCAAGGGTCCCTGAGAGCAGTAAGCGTCCCAGACTCCAAGTAAAATCCTGCAGAAGACCCACTGCAGCCCAGGGCCTCGGAGAGCTCCTCATCCATCACCCTGAGAGAGGAGTTTTGCTGTTCCAGGGTCCCCATGTCACACAGGGACATTCAGTTTATTGACTCTCCATTGGGCAATGACT